GTGGAATATTTAGGAGCGAGGAAATTTCACGACTGGATTTGTTGCACAGGTGGCATCCTATCACAGTTCCACGCTGGAATTCACTGAGCTCCTGAGAGCGACCCATTCTTTCACAAATGTTTGTAAAAACAGTCTGCATGCCTAGGTGCTTGAATTTATACACCTGTGGCCATGGAAGTGATTGGAACACCTGATTCCAATAATTTGGATGGGTGAGCAAATACTTTTGGCAATATAGTGTATAAATATGAACAGATTTATTAGCCATTGATATTCTGAACATTTCTCTACTTTTATTTACTGAAAATAAGAGAAAATAGAAATGATAAGCATAAAAAATGTATTTTCCTTTATTTTATTTTGTCAGAGAATAATTTTTTTTTGCACATAAAAAAATATAATCACCTCTTAAAAATAAAGACACAGAAACAAATCAACTTGCTGAAAACTTCAGTTATTTACAGCTCTGATATCTTACACATTGCATGAACATTATAAGTGAGAAAGAAATTAAAAAACAAAAGGAACCTTTAATGAAGGTTTTATTATAGACGACGGCTCTATAGGGAAATCAAAGATCATCACAGAAGAGGTAGTTGATGCCTAGGTGCATATTTATCCTTTTATTAATGAAGCACAACATAAAAAATAACTTTTTTAAGGACAAAAAGATGCATATTTGACACTATTATTCAATACTGAATAGAACCGAATGGATCGAACCAGATGTTGGTAAAGTTCTGGGGGAAACCTTTATTGAAGTAACATTCCTGTATTTGATAAATGTTTTCCAAACTAATGGCCTGATTTCATGAGCTGTTTGGTTGTTAATGGATCCTGGTTCTTTAACAGTCCTAATTGACCCACTGCAGGTACAGAAACCCTGATAGTGAGTCTGACTGTTGATGATCTTGTAGAATTTCATTAAATAAATCATATGTTGGAAAATATCAAAAAATCAAAAACTCTTTACCTGCCCCCCTCCTTCCTGCTCTTGTATTTAAAGGTTTCCCAAACCAACGACGCAGAAATAAATACAAAAAAAATATACGACAGTCGCTTGCAGCCAAAGAGAACCTATTTTCTGTTTGTTAAACTTTTTAAATGTAAAAAAAAATATCTGTATATGTTTAGAAATGTTTTTTCTTAAGCTAACATTTTTAAAATTTGAACTGATTAAGATGCTATAAATTTAAATAACATTGATTTGATATCAAAGAAAATCTAGAATAAAAGTTGTGCAGAAAGAAACAGTAGCATCAAATGTCACTGCTGTTTACAGAACAAGCAGAATCTTTAACGCTGCCATGATATTGATTAAACAATAACACTGTAAGTTTGGTATAAATATTATTTCTGACAACACAGAGGAGCGTGACTCAGAACCTACACTTCTTGCATGAGTCCTTTTTCCAGTCTGTTTCTAAGCAGACTTAGCGAAAAGGGAAAGAGGCCTCCAGACATGCTCAAAATCTCCCAGTTTTAATAACTTTCCTGAAGCCTGAAAGGACGACACTGGCTAAATTTGAAACCCTTTAAAGCCCTTGGAGGATTCAATCAAAGTTAGACATGAATGAAACCTCAACAACCCTATAAAATGACCCTAAATGGCGACTTCCTGTTGGTTTAGTAGCTTCCTCCAAGAGACGTCTTTGCTGGTTTCTATTTTTGCTCTAAATGTTAATGTCAACTTTATACCTTTATACCTACTGGAAGTCACTGTGGAGGTCTTTGGCCACGCCCACTTTTTTAACTCTACAGAAACTCAATAATGTTGCACAGAATTTGTAGATGGCTCATTAAGTTCGGCTCCCAGAGAGGGTAATTTAATTTTACAGGAGAGTAATAAACATTTCAATTGGATAAATTTTGCCTAATTACGGTTTGTGTGTAATATTGCAAATGACTGATTAAAATGAAATATTCAAAACTAATATGACCTAAAAGCAAAAGCATAGGTCATAGGAAGATTTTTTCATTTTCCTAAAATACATTTAGACTGTCCAGGTGTCCGTTTCACGAAGCAGTTTTACAAAAAACTCAGTTTCATTCACCTCTGAATGTTACTACGGCTGCAAACAGACAATGATTTACTGTTTAAAAGATTGTATCAACAGGAGGGACGCATGAGATGATCCATAGGTTCTATATATTAGAACAATATTTTTTTTCTTCATCCTGACCTGCTGCCAGAAGATTTTTATCTAAAAGGATACATTAATCTACTACTCTTCCAGATATCGCTTAATATTAACGCGGTTAAAACACACTTTGGCAAGCAATTTCGATATTTACTGGTTTTACTGAATATGTATTCCTGATAGCAGAAAAAACATTTTTCTTTGTCATTTTCTCCATATCTAGAATAAACATTCTGGATGTCTTATATTAATTTCAGATCTCCATATTCCTAATATTACTAATCAGCTTTTGTATTTTTTTTAACTATGAAAAATGTTTTTTTAAACATTTCTAGATATAAAAAACCTAATTCTTAATAGTACAATTTTGTTTTTTTTATTTTCTAAAATTCATTTTCTGCTACAAAAATGTAATTTAGAAAATATATTATTACAGTTAGATCTAGGAGTGTGATTTTGATCAGGAAGAATCTTATTTTAGTGATTTATAAATGGAACAACAGAGAGTACGTTTAATAAATGTAGAAATGGCCTGCCATAGCCAACTTGATATACACTTATGCATTAACTGAAGCAACAATCTTCTCCTTTTCCATCTTCCTCTCCTTTGTTGCTGTAGTGCAGTTTCTGTCTTTTAAACACATTCTCCTTTACTTATTTATTTATTAATTTCTGCATTAAAACTTTAGTTCCAGTGGTGTGAATTAAGCACTTCCTGTTCCCTGTTGACATGGTGACTCGTCGAATCGGGGCTTGTTAGACACATGCTAAGCTCTGAGTGGTTGTACTTGGAGTTGATTGAACTAATTCATAGCAGCCGTTGTGAAACCCGAAAACTCAGCCTTCTCAACATTAGGCTAGATCAATTTAGAGTTGAGGATTTGGATCTAAGTTTATTAAAGCTGCTTCGTAAAACGGACCCCAGGTGGACTGAATGTGGTTGGTTTCAGAGCTTGCTGACGTAACTTTTTCTCTTTATAAAGATATTATTTTAACAAACATCTGTAGATATACTAGATCTGATCTTCAGCGAATCCTAATGGGGAGCGCTAAATCTAGTGAAAAAACATAAATTAGCAAACTGTAGGGTGATCTGCAACATATGCTTACGTAACTTAAAAGTTGTGCAGAACTGGTTCTGTTTGGCTCCATTAAAGCATGGATATGAGGAGGACAATAATAATATAAAATAATCCATACTAATGCTAATACAAACTTATTTACAGTGCACTTTACATACGCATCTCAAAGTCATACAAACAACAGCAAAACAATAGAAATGATAAATGATCAATCATGACATCTGAGAAAGCTGCTCTTTGATCCCCTCCAATCTGTTCCAGTCAGATTCACAGCAGATTAATTTCTAAACAGCTGGATTTATATCCACCACCCTGGTACTTTCAGACAAAAAAATCAAGATACTATGGTTGAAATTTTTCCTCTATTATCATTTTTACCCTGTTTTAATTGAGACCTTTTGCATTATTCATATTCTGTCGTAAGAGGAGGAGGATTCTGCCCTTTAGGATCATTTTTAAATCTTTTTCAACTGATTGTGTTGAAGGAGTTAGAATTGAAGGAGGTTTATAATCTAGTTCTGCCAAAGAGAGCCTGGTTAAGGCTAGAAACAACTTACTGTCTCTAGAAAGTATGCATCCTTCCTCTCTGGTGTATACATGTGTGCACACCCTCCCTTTGAGGTCGTTTGCCCCCTTTTGGCCTGCTCTATTTATTTAAGGCCTTTGAATTAATTTGCAAAGACAAAGTTTGATCTTTCTCTGCTTTTACTGAGTGGCGACCTTTCCCTATTTGATAAATAAAAGTTCTTATGATAACAGACTGAAGTTGTTAGAGTAATACCACTGGAATAACCTTAGTCTACTGACTCAAAAAATCTGTACAAAAAAAATGACTAAATGTGACCTTTGAGGACGAATAAGCGTATCTATAGTTCCTGTTCTGCATATCTGTTTTATTTAGCCTGACGCTCAGTTCTAAAAACATCAAGGATCTTTCTTTTCCGTAAAATCTCAAGACGAAAGTCCTGATACAGAGCACAGACTGCATGTTGTTTATAAAAACAGCATTGTGTCAGAGGAACTGAAATCGCAATGGCTTGCAAAGTGCTTACAATTTGAACCTTTTAACCTTTCATCTCATTTAAACAACTTTGTGTTTTTTTTGTGGCTCCTCTGTTACATAAAAACCTGATGTTTAGCGCTATTACGTAGTAACTCATGTAGAAAAAACAACAACAAATAGCTTAGAATAGATTCACTAGAAACTATACATACATTAATATATTCTTGCATTGATCTAGCAGTGAGGAGCCCTCTTTGAATCCATCCTATGGACTAACAGACTTAAGTTCTTTAATTCTGAGTCTGAAAGTCATGCGTCTCCCCTTACATCACTAACACAAGCAGCTGGGTCAAGGCAGATCATTTGGTGGTGCGTGTGTCACAAGATGCAGCTGCAATAGCAGAACAAAACATCCACCCTAACCTAGATGTGCTAACTGGAGAAACATGCAGAAAATTTGAAATGCATCCATCATCTGAGTTCTGGTGGGATACTCCTCCAGAGATCCATAGAGGTTTTCTGTATTTTCTGTTTATTCCTCCTGCTTGTTCTGTGGCTTTTATCTCATCATTACTAATGTTTTCATTTTGTATAAAGGTGTATGACACATTATTAAATATATATGGCTCAAAGCATAACAGCCTTTCTAAAAAATAAAAAGAACATAGGTGCAACCAAATTGACCACTGAGCTATTTTACAACTTTTCACAAAGTTTTTGTTGTGTTTTGTTTTCCTCATTATAAAACTATAAGAAAAACAAAAATGAAAACAAAGCTCAGTATTTGTAGGAAAGTTCTAATGAATTATGTTCAAAACTAAACCCAGGAAAAGCCAGAGCCAGACTCTTGGACCAAATGTCTGCCCTGCAGCTGTGCTTCTCAGCTGGTACTGAGCTAGAACCTTCGAATAGCCCTTTTCCTCGGACTCACATGCATAATTTCCCTCCTGCTTGGGAGTCATGCTGTAGATCAGGTAAAGGCACAGCCCCTCATTTAGGTTGCAGGGTTTGGATCCTTCAGGACCGCGCCAGATGTAATTGGCATGATGGGATGACACTGGGCATTGTAGGAAGTGTCTTGACAGAAAGGGAACTGTGATAAGGGACACATTGTTGACTTTAGGTCCTGCAGCACCTGAAAAGGAAATAAAAAAACATGATCAGTAATAATAAGACATGTGATCTATTATTTAACTTGGAGCATATCCTGCTGTTTTTTTAATAAATCCTGTTCAAGGGTGGAGAGGACAAACAGAGGAAATAACAATGTTGACCTAAGAGTGTCTCCACAGCTGCTCTGTTTCATTTCTACTCTTTCTATCCTGCATTTTTATGGAGTCAATTTTGTTCCATTATTGTTGCAAGAAAAAAACATAACCATTTTAAATACAGTAAAAAATGCAACCCAGAGATTATCTCTAAAACATTTCATAAAGTTCTATTTCTTAATTTCAAAAATGGTTTTGAAAGGAACTTTGCACAGGTATTTTTTCATTTGTCACATTTTATATACAGTTCATTGAAAAGTACAGTGCTTTTTCTTAAAAAATAAGGACATTTCAATGTGACCCCAAACTTTTGAACGGTAGTGTGTAATTATATATATATATATATATATATACACTATATTGCCAAAAGTATTTGCTCACCTGCCTTGACTCACATATGAGCTTAAGTGACATCCCGTTCCTAATCCATAGGGTTCAATATGACGTCGGTCCACCCTTTGCAGCTAGAACAGCTTCAACTCTTCTGGGAAGGCTGTCCACAAGGTTTAGGAGTGTGTTTATGGGAATTTTTGACCATTCTTCCAGAAGCGCATTTGTGAGGTCGCACACTGATGTTGGACGAGAAGGCCTGGCTCTCAGTCTCCGCTCTAATTCATCCCAAAGGTGTTCTATCGGGTTGAGGTCAGGACTCTGTGCAGGCCAGTCAAGTTCATCCACACCAGACTCTGTCATCCATGTCTTTATGGACCTTGCTTTGTGCACTGGTGCACAGTCATGTTGGAAGAGGAAGGGGCCAGCTCCAAACTGTTCCCACAAAGTTGGGAGCATGGAATTGTCCAAAATGTCTTGGTATGCTGAAGCATTCAGAGTTCCTTTCACTGGAACTAAGGGGCCAAGCCCAGCTCCTGAAAAACAACCCCACACCATAATCCCCCCTCCACCAAACTTTACACTTGGCACAATGCAGTCAGACAAGTACCGTTCTCCTGGCAACCGCCAAACCCAGACCCGTCCATCAGATTGCCAGATGGAGAAGCGCGATTCGTCACTCCAGAGAACGCGTCTCCACTGCTCTAGAGTCCAGTGGCGGCGTGCTTTACACCACCGCATCCGACGCTTTGCATTGCACTTGGTGATGTATGGCTTGGATGCAGCTGCTCGACCATGGAAACCCATTCCATGAAGCTCTCTGCGCACTGTTCTTGAGCTAATCTGAAGGCCACATGAAGTTTGGAGGTCTGTAGTGATTGACTCTGCAGAAAGTTGGCGACCTCTTCGCACTATGCGCGTCAGCATCCGCTGACCCCGCTCCGTCAGTTTACGTGGCCTACCACTTCGTGGCTGAGTTGCTGTCGTTCCCAAACACTTCCATTTTCTTATAATACAGCTGACAGTTGACTGTGGAATATTTAGGAGCGAGGAAATTTCACGACTGGATTTGTTGCACAGGTGGCATCCTATCACAGTTCCACGCTGGAATTCACTGAGCTCCTGAGAGCGACCCATTCTTTCACAAATGTTTGTAAAAACAGTCTGCATGCCTAGGTGCTTGAATTTATACACCTGTGGCCATGGAAGTGATTGGAACACCTGATTCCAATAATTTGGATGGGTGAGCAAATACTTTTGGCAATATAGTGTATATATATATATATATATATATATATATATATATATATATATATATAAAAACACACATACATACATACACAGATATATATTTTTTGTTAATTTATATTTTTCCTTTGTTACTTTATATTTTTTTCTTTTTATTTGTAAATTCTTTTATTGACTAAATATTTTCTATTTTTTTTTTTCAGATTTAGTTTTAAAATTTAATTGTTTTCAAATCGAGTTTTAATGATCACATTTTCTTCACTTCAAGCTGAAGACAAATGTTCACTCCTGACCAGTAAAAATATTATTGCAGACCAACAGAAATGTATTTTTTGCTTAAAACTCCAGAGGAGTTTTTTTACTTGGGGGGGGGGGGGGGGGGGGGGGGGGGGGAATAGAAATATGAACAAATGCTAAACAAATTGGAAAAAGGACTTCCGAAAAGTTACTCATAACATTTTTGTGCAGTTTCACCATTTTTACAAGGAAGTTAAAAATGAGACATGTACATATTTTTTTAACCCCCATTATTCAGATCCCATACGATTAAATGGAGTGCAAACAAAAGCATCCAGATGTCAGCTCATAATGAAAGAAAAGCTTATCAGTGATTCACGTATAAATCCAGCTATTCTCTGAAGGCCTTAGAGAAAATAAATGAACATGCAACATCATGAAGAAATACATGAAAAACATTGCCGGTAAAGTTGAGTAGATTAAGTTTGATCTAGAAAAAAAAAAAGATAATGGCAAACTACAGTGCAGCTGACAAGCTGGGCAAGAAAAGATTTAGTCGGAGCGAAACAGGCAATAGGCACCTGCATATATCTATAAAAAGATTATTTATTTCAGGAACAAATCTAAAAAAAGCAGCCAGATTGACAAAGGATCAAAACATGATCCTGTGTCAGAATGACTTTGACCTAAATCTAAGAAAGTATAAAAATACATTTCTACAAATTCTCTCCATTCTGTATACATTTAAGGTATTTTTAAGAAGAAAACACCCTTCTGTCACCTAACGTGCAAAATTAATAGAGGCATAAATCATAAAATACTTGCAGCTGTAACTGCAGTAAAGGTTGCTCTACAAAGTATTTAGTCGGTGTGGTAGAAATCAAACCCCATCTTTTCATGCTGGTAAAGGAAATTAAAACCCACGTATAATTTCCCCTCTAGAGATCATGCACCGGTGGTCGATGAAGTGCTGCAGTTTGTGCAGCCAAGCATTTGTTCCAAGCTGCACATCTCAGTGCCTCTGCTTGATGGATGCTGCAGCATCTGAGCTGACTTTATATTTTTCACAGCTTGGTTGGAAAAATGTGCTGGGTTGTTTCTTTTAATGATTAAATTTAGTCTTCAAATGAGACAAACCACAAACTTGAGTTTCTGAGAAAACTGTGGCAACGTTGATAATCGGAAATTAGACCAATCAAAGAGCAACAGACAACAGATAAGTGTTGTCTCACTGATAAGACCCCACCCACCACAGCAAAGACATTTCCTTCTATGGTTCATCTGCTTAGTCTCAGTTTTTACATCTTTTTTTTGGTTCTCTAATTTCATGGGTTCTGTGCAAGTCATTATCAAATAAACCTTATAAAGTTATGCTGGCATGTCTTTAGTTTCAAAACGTCTTCGTTATTTCCCCTTTTTTAGCTATTTTACAGATGAACCCCGTTCTATATTTCCCTGTTTTACTTTGTTACAGTCTTGGTTTTAATTGTCAGTGCCTCGTCAAGATTGTTATTTTTCTTTGGTTGTTTTTCTTATTTACTGCTTTACTTCCTGCAGTAGAGGAAAGCAACTTTAGTGCCGTGGAGCCTCGGTTCCATAAGTTTTACCTAATAAGGTACATAACCTCTTAACATCCACCTCATTTTGGGAAACTTCGCCTTTTTTTATACCCAAATGGAAATCAAATAACTTAGGAACTGTAAGCCTAAATTACATGTGTGATACATTATTTGAAAGCTAATACCTACTAGTTTCTGAATATATACATGAAAATCGGGTGAGTAAAACACCCAAGCTGCATCAGTTTAAACAAGTCTCAAAGTAGTTTTTTTATTCTCGAAAATAAAAGGTCTTTTTTGAACATCAGTATTAAAGACATGCTTGCCTGTTGTAGCTGCTTTGTCATGGTACCTTTTGACACGCTGCTATATCTGTGTTGACTGTGCTTTGGTGCTCGCTATGTCCATAAAATGTTCTGGCGGTTAAATTATGGAGAATCTAAGCTTTGATAACAATGTCTAACATGTCTATATTGGTAAACATTTTACCAGTGTCATTTTCATGCACTCTGAGTTATTTGTAAATACTTTAAAACCAGTGGATTTTGAGAGGTTAAAGAACTTCCTCAACCAGCCTCTAATGTCTGCAATCCCTGTAAATGAACAGCTCATGTAAATCAGCTGTGGTTAAGCAGATTGTATGCAGGACAGCAAACATCCAGTACTGGGGCCATCCTCCACCCTGGGCTATTGCTATAACTTCAGCCTCATAAATTCAAATATCTTTGAACTTTGCTTTATTTAATTTGTTCTGCACCATGCGTTTCTGCAAAACAGGAGTCAGAGCAGTCCTCACTACAGTGGATCACATCAACAAGGCTACTTAGCTTTGGTTTGGATGTTCAGTTTTTAGCTGCTTTCCACCTAAATTAGTAGGTTAACCCTGGTTTTTCAAAGACACGTTGACCTGCTAACAAACAGCATTAGGTTCCCTTCCCATTTGGCAATAAGCTGGTTCTGACCCCTGCTCGTGAGCTGCTTGGCCTTGTATGTGTGTATGTATATATATATATATATATATATATATATATATATAAAAAACTAACAGCTGAGGTCTCTTTTTTAACAGGATTATTGCACAGGGTATTAAATAGTGATTGCCTAATGATGTTATCTGTTAGCCTGGGTGCCATTCCAAACTTAGTCCCGCCCACAAGGTTTGAGGTCGGGAAGTTCGGTCTGGCATTGCTCCATAGTAGCGCGAGTATGATCGCCCACTCTCTGGCGATCCAATCAAATTGTCAGGGCGGGCTTTATACGATGATGGACAGATGATCAACAGTAACGTAATCAACCACGTCACCAAAGCGCGCTTGGGTGACAACAATGGCTGCCGCCGGAGAGTTGAGGTGAGTAGATTCTGCTATTAGGTCTGTTCTAGAAGATATCGACAGCAAATTAATTTTAAAAGAGGAACAGAGAAACGCCATCAAGGCTCATCTTCTTATTCTAGGCGTGCAACTGCACGCTTTGATTTTTGTTGATAACAACTATGCGTGGCTTAACATACGTCACGCACTCCGTTGCTCTTATTGGTTGTAGGTCTATCCAGTTGAGTGCAGAGGCATTTTTTTTCCTGGTTCATTCGAAACACGCCCCATAATCACAGCTCTATGGAGCAGCATCAGACTCAGATTCTGACTAGAATTGAGTCGGACTACGTCAGGCTAGGTGTCTGTGTTTCAGAATTCAGAAAAGTACATAATGGGAGAGCAAGTGTGCTTTATTGTTTTGCAATAATGTTTTGCACCTGTCCTAATCCCTTTCATCAGAGCTGCAGGTTGTCGAATGCAAGCTTTTTGTGCTTGTTAGATCAGAAGCAACTGGAGCGATGTTCTGATGTACGTTGTGATGTACTTTTTGGCCAATGGGAAAGGGACATGAACCTGATTTTCACTGCTATGCTTTGTTCAGAGAAAATCTGTCTGAGTTTCCTCAGAAACTCCTGGCACACACATGAAATTAGCTCGTCACTGTATCTCTCGGTTTCCCCTCTGTACCCCTCTCAGTTTTGTGTGACTTAACGAATGCCCAGTGCGAATCATCACATGCCTCAAGTGATTCTCCAACATGTTTCTGTTGTTTCGTTCTCCCCTGAAACTCACAGGATATCGTCATCCTGGTAAGTCAGATTTCTAAAAATAGCGAGTTTGTGTTTCAGTTGGTGAGTCAAATTGAACGTTTTGGTCTTTGTGTAGTGAAAACCTCAGGATTCTGATTCTCATTGTTCTGAATGTGCATAACAGTCCAGAAAGGGCAATGTGTTATTCTTGGCATCCTCTCTAGAGAACTTGACACCTCCGTCCACCGGGTTGGTTTGGTTGGCGAATGCCTTAATTTCTTGGGTGTGGATTTTGATCATATCTACATAATTAAACCAGTGAGTTGACTGTGTTCCCTTGGGTTGGTGTGAGAATGTTTTGAGTGTTCTGCTTCCCACTGCCTCCTTTTAGATGTTCGCCATATCTCAAGATTTTGTCAAAAGTAAATTTCTGCACATTTGGATGATCAAAGCATGCAAATAATTTGACATGACCAAAGAAGAACAAAAAACAAACAAAAAACGTGTTTCCCCTCACTGTGGACATTTCTCCTGAGTCTGGTGCTAAATAAATTGGCTGCAGCCTTTAGCTTATTTGTATTGTTGGACCTGGTGTCTCATCATTCTTAAAAAATACTCTATCATCCTTTGGGGTTCAGGTCAGGAGACCATGCTGTGAAATAGGTCATTCAATCAGATGTTGATACTGTGAGGAAACAACACAAACTCAAATGTTCATCATAGTAAAATCTTAATCCTTACTCTTCATTCCATGCTGGAATGCATAATTTAATCTAATCTAAAGTAAGGAACAAGAACCAGTGCATTATATAGAAAGTGTGCAGCCAAGGCAAGAACGATGTTTCTGTTTACAGAGAGGCTTTACTAAAGACACATGTCCTGGAGATGTCTGCTTATGTTGGCTGTTAGAGCATCAATCCAGCTCCAGGACACGCCTGATCTTTAATAAACAAGTGATAAGGTTTTCTCTACAATCTTGTTGGCTCCAGAAATCCCCGTAGCTTGCATACTTTGTTTCCCTACATTTTCTTTCATAACACTTTTCACTTTTACTGCATGATTGGCTAAAGCCCTCTGCAAATAACTTTATTTTTTTAAACTGTTTTTATTTACTCTCCTCGTTGAGAAGTCTGCTAGCAGTAATATAAATTTGCTAAGCCAAACATTTTTGTGGTCATTAAGTAGAATCGGACTGGCTGAGAATTGAGAAACAATGTGGTGATCTAAAGGAACCTGCAGCTGATGTGGTGACCAAAATTCTTTATTCTGGGTAAAATGAAAATAAAATAGACTCAGCAAGAGGCGGAAATGGATAGTAGAGAACTAGAAATGCAGAACAGGAAGTGAAAAAAGAATCTGATTAAGAACTGGGTTCTTATAAGCAAAACTATTGCATTCCAATTGGACATTTGAAATGTCTTTTATTTTATTTTTTGTTTCATTTTTAGATGGATTTTTTTTATTTTTTTTTTTTTTATTTCAAATCACAAGATGTGTTTTTTGGAACAGAATTCACTCCATAATTTCCATCCTCCTCTTCTTCATTTGAAACATTACATACATTGGAATGGCCTAATGGTTCCCAAAGTGGGGGCCTCACCCTCTTAGGGGATTAATGTTACTGTAGGAGGGGCATTGATTAATGACCAATTGTTGAGAGTTTCTTAAAAAATATATATTTTGATGGCAATGTTGAATCCAATTACAGATTATAGTAGACAGTTAATCTTAATTACACTTTAAAATAGGCCATTTTGGGATCTGTAGTTAATTTTATAAATGTCTTTTACTGCAGTTGAATCTGTTTAACTATAGTTGGAGGCGGGAATGAAAAAGTTCGTATAAAACACACGCTCCGTTTGAGGGGAGGAATGTATGGGTGCAGGAGTACTGCATACAATTAGAGGACTTTAGATAAGCTGAGAGCAAAGCCTGCAATATATAAATATAAATAGTCATTGTTTTTATATAAATATATAAATAGCCATTATGGTCATTAATTTTTTCCACAGAATACCTGTTTGCATAATTCCCATAATAAACAATAATTAAAGGAAAACAAGAACCACTGTTGTTATGTTTCTGATAAAGATTACTTGGAGAAAGATTGTTTTGAACATGAGGAAAAATTCTAGCTATATAAACAGTCAAATTCATCCAACAATCTCTGTATTTTTCAAAGAATCCCATTTTTTAAAAACCTTTTTAGTTTCACAGAAAAGATAAGATACTCAAACATCCTGTCCTGCAAACGACCACAATCTGATGACGCTGTGGCTAACTAAGTCTATGATCATAAACTCCCCAAGCTGAAAGCAAGGGTAAAAATATTCATTTCATGAGTAACTATGAGCTCAGTGATCCCATTTCCTCCAGAAATATCAGTGTTTATTTTTAGCTGCATATGTTGCAATTAAGTGATGTTTTTTTTTTACCAAATGTTTTTGACCCTTTGAAGGTTATTGAAGCTGTTGATTAACTTAAAACAAGGAAGGAGCTGCAGAGACCAGCCCAGCTAACCTAGTTTGTAGCATCAAAAGAACTTGAATGTGGTGAGCTGCTAGACAGGCGCTTTCTAACAGCTGCCCACATGCAAGAGACCATGAATGTGGTGAGCTGTTAGAAAGACGCCTTGCAGCATAGCCAGTAGTCGCTGCGCACGACAGATGTATTGACCTGCTTGACCATGCAGGACCCTAAGTTCTCGACGCAAGGAACCCGGGTTCGAATCTGGCCTGTGGTCCTTTGCTGCATGTCTCTCCCTCTCTCTCATACCCCCTTTCCTGTCAGCCTACTGTCACAGAAACAAGCCACTAGTGCTGATAAAAAAACAAAACAGGTCCAGCATGAAGATGCTCAGCAGGAATAAACAGGAAACACCTACAATGCTTCATACCTATAATGTCTGTCCCCTGGAGAACTGACTTCATTACTTACATGTACAAACTGATCTGCAGGGTTGAGAAGTTTTTTTTTTACTAAATAAAAGCCATTGTTTATAAAAAACAAAGGGGTTGCAATACTGTATACATCTGTGAAATGGATAACCGGGAGGTAGCCTTGCAGCTCCGCCTGTTATCACCTCCCAGCAGATAGGAAATAATCCAGTGTTGAAAAAAAAATACAAAATAAAACGGGATAAAAATAATAAAAATGATTCCAGGAGGGATTAGACTGGAACAGAGCTGGTAATGCAGTCTGAACATTGCTGTTCACTGAAGCGAAAGCTATGAGTAAACATCTTTAATACTGATAATAGTGATCAATGCTGTTCTTAGTATCTATAGTTCTAAAACAATCATAAAAAGGTTTTATTTTGTTTATTCATTTTATTGCCCTTGTGAGTGATTGGCTCCTGCCTTGATGCTGAGGATTTACTGCAAATTAAATGTACTGTAAATTGGTTTATTTTATTAATATAAATTGGTCTTCAGAAGAGGTGGGCGGATCGATACTATTGATACCACCTGGTATTGATCTTAAACAATATTCGTTTAACAAGATTGATACTTTTCATTCCCTCCCACAGGCACTAACTGCAGCAGATTGACCAGTCTTTAAAGATGTTATCTAAGTGGGCTAACAATAACTAATCCTTTATTTATCTCGTGACGAGGACATTTATAGAATTAAAGCGACAGCCAAGTGCACACAATACAAACAAGATTATATAAAGATTGAAAGATATGAGAGGTGGATTAGGAAAAAACAACACAATGAGCATAACATTAATATTATTATTTATATTCAATTGTAACAATAAAATAAAAATCCCCAAAACACCAAAAGGTCAACAGTTCCATGATCCATAAACTTTAAATGTAAAGAGTATTGGTATCGTATCGATATCTGCGATACTGACCCTGTATTTATTTGGTATTGTCGCCCACCTATAGTCTTTAGCAATTGCAAGCTTTTGCTCTGCATTGTGGTTTGCAGAATGATTTATTTAGAAGACACCATCTGGCTTTCTAATAAATCTATGGTTCTGCCAGCAGATGTCGCTATGTTTGTTTATTCCTGCTCATCGTGCCCAGTGCTGGAACTCTATTTAGGCTCAAAATGGACACTTGATGGATATAACCCTAATACATCATAATCAACAAGATTTAGTATTTTTGGTGTAGGCATATAACACGACTATGCCACTTTAATTAAAAGACAACAACATTTCTTACATTTTTACACTTGTCAATCTTTTTAATGTTAAATAGCAAAGATCAGTACTGTCCTTAATGTGTCAGCAGCTTTACCTGATTGTTGATAAGCTTGGCGTGTTGGGCAATTCTCGTGGCTCGGGATGACCATATGATGTGGTGTCACACTGCAAAACAAGAAGTATATCAGTCAAACGAGTTACAGGAACTACTTAGCATATTTACTACAGAAAAGTATATTCAATATATATCTTGGGGCTACTTCTTTACACACAGACTATTGCAGTGTTGTTAGTCACCATCTGTCCCATACTGTCATATTTTAATCATCTTTAGTCACAGGGTAAAAAAGCATAACACCAACTCAAATTTATAAACAAAACTAGGATAAATCTGTATACTAAGCACCCCCAGAGCTTGCAACTTGCTGCACCAAATATAGTGAGTGCAGAGTGCGTGTAATTCTAGTAAGGTTTTAGGTGGTCTGCTTGCAGAGAAGTGAAAGTCAGAAGTGACTACATTTCCCCTTCACTGCACCACTGGATCACAGCTTTAGTTTAGTTATCGCTGTCACACATCTAGTTGTTTAGAGCAAAGGGGACCAGATGTCTGATTCTACATCAAATGTCACATATTAAAATTACTGAGTGTAATAATTTTTAACAATCTATTTATTCTTTGCATGTGAGTCACAGAGAGTCAAATTTTTTTGGAAAACTCCAAGCTTGATGAAAAATGCCCACACTTTTATGACAGGAGGGAATTTTGCAATAGAAGAAGTTTTGTAAAGTCTAAGCTTATTTTCTCTATAATCACAGTCAAAGACGCCTATAAAGTCAATGTTTCTATCCAGTTTGGTGGGCTTTATATTAAACTACTCCTTTTTACCAAGAGCCATTGAAAATATGGTGGCATCTAATTCAACTGGCAGTTGTGAGCATGTGAATCTTTTTTTAAATCACCCTCTTCACGTAGGAGGTGTGATTGACCATGAGACGTTTAGGGTAGGTGAAAAGTATGATAAAGGTGATTTTTCAGGAAGCGGGTTTTCCCCACAGACAAAGGTGCTGCGACGTAAAAATAATGCAGTATTGATACAAGAAGTGAACAACTTTCCAAGTTATGTGTTTTACTACACTGGAAAAAAACGGTCAACCATAGGTGAGTAGTTCTCAGTTCTTCCACTGACAATTGAGAAACCACCTGCTTCCTACATTGAAAGAAAATATAAGGAAATATGCGATAAGTCAGAGTTAGGAAATGCTATGACTCACTGCAAAGAGTGTAAAAGCACAAGAACCAGCTGTGAAAATTTACACCAGACATGAGCGTAGGTTTGCATAGGGACCATAGGGACATGTCCCTACCAAAATTTTGGACGGACCTATTTGTCCCTAACAATAATTGGATGTGAACAACATGTTTATAATTTACTATACAGCAGCCGCTTCTTTTCCTCTCGCAGCTTCTCTGCCTGGTAGCTGCAGCTGCCTGCTCTTTCCTGTCCCTTTCACATAGCAGCGCATCAACTGTGCTGCGCGGTTTAACTCTGATTATTCTGCCTTAAGTTCCGCCTTCTCTCTTTCTGATTGCGTGTTTTCTAGTCTGTATGTGCGCGCACGGGTGCTTGGAGCGCGAAAAAAAAAGACGCTGAAATAAATTAATATTGGGCTACGAAACTAGTCCAAATTTTAAAAAAATATTATCTACGCTAAAACAGGCGAAAGCTTCTGATTGGAGTTCTGTAAAGAAGCAGGAGAGAGTTTTTTAATTTATGGAATTTTCAAGATGTTGGAGATCGGCCTGTCTTCAGGTGTGGTCCTGTTTCTCTGGCCGTGGCTGGGTGGATGTGCTCTCTTCATCCTCTGGCACGGGAGCTGGCTCGGAGCTCGTCTGCCTGGCTGTGTGTTTCCTGGACGGTGCAGCCTTTTACAGCTGCTTTTTGTATCTCTGCTTGTGTCTGCTTGAACCCCAGTCGGCCTCGGCAGATGGCCGCTCACACTGAGCCTGGTTCTGCTGGAGGTTTCTTCCTGTTAAAAGGGAGTTTTTCCTCTCCACTGTCGCTACAAGCATGCTTAGTGTGAGGGATTGTATTTGACTCAATGAGTCAATGCAATCAGCTGGTTTTCCTTAGATAGAAAACTTTGTATCAATTTGACTGGATGATCTGGTTGAACTGTAAAGTGCCTTGAGATGACATGTGTTGTGAATTTGGCGCTATATAAATAAACTGAATTGAATTGAATTGAACTTGAGAAATGCAAGTTAACAACGTTAGGATTTCTTTTATTTTATCTTTTAATCAGATAGCCAAAGGCTCCTTAAAGAAGATCTTTTATGAAATGAAACCAGGTGAAACGTTTAAACGTTTCCTTTGAAGGAGTTCTGGATGGAGAATATTGACAGACAAAAACTATTTTTTTTTTTTTTACTTCTTAAATGCAAAATGTTTACATATTTTTTTACAATCTTGGTATAATTCCTGCTCTAAGTGGGTCGCTCTGTCAGCTAAAGGCACATTTTAGTGGCCCTATACTCCAGTTAATGATTAATCAATTACATAGGTCACGATTATTTAAATAATTTGTTAATATGATTGTTTCAGCCATAGATAAAATACATGAAATTAGCTACACAGAGTAACTACAGCCCAGATGTACAACTTCTAATATTAATACTTTAAATGCTCAGTGTCAGTTCCTCTTCTAGTTCCAGTGCACATGTAAATACAATACATTTATTTTCCGTCCCTTGAATGTATTATTTTGCATGATCCAGAGAGAGCATATTAGATAAAAAAAAATAAGAGTGGGTTTTACCTCTGCACAATTCTATATCTTCAGAAGAAAACACAGGATAAATCCACATATTATAGACTATATTTGGTTAAACAGACACTGTCTTAGTCGCAGGTAAATTTAAATGCAATCCTTTTCAAAGTGGAAAAAGTCTTAATTCCACATTCATCAGAGTTATGCTTTAAATATTGATAAACAGCATCTAGTGCTTATAAGATTTGTATTAATGTAGCAAGAAATGCTGCTGTTCTCTTTAAACAAAATGAGCCCTGAAGCTCACATTAAGCATAAAAAAAGAGCATGCATATTTTTGCAAAGGACCAGTGAAACTGAAGAATAGTGTCCCTACCAAAGTTGAAATCAAACCTACGCCCTTGACACCAGAGGTGTATCAACTATCCCCTAGCCCTAACTTTACTTGTAATATGAGCAAAACACTAACAAAAATTAAACAATGTGATTGCTTCTAACAAGACGGAAAGAGGCAAAATAATAAAAACAAATGTAAAAAACTTTAAAGGCAGATGTGTACAGTTAGTTCTCAAGGATACCAACATTTGCCTGCTATGCTATCGCTGCTACCATCCATTCCACCAATCAGGGACTCATCTGCAGTGTTGGTGCTTCTATAACTTTTTATCTTTTGTGTAATTGCCTGGGACATGTTGCTAACGCTACATCCACATGAACACACATATACATAGGTAAAAGTCTGCATTCCCTCGCAAGACAGAAAAGGGGTTTAAAAGGGGATTCAAAGCTCTATTTATTTTCCTCCTAACGATTAAACATGGATTTAAGGACACTTTCAGAGGGATTGCACGTGTAAAACACCTGGTCATGAACCCTTTAAGATGCTAACAACCAGATGATTCTTTGTGATGCTCTTGATAGATTTGTATAATGATATAATAATATTTGTAATGCTCTTAGCTATGAGTCGCAGTTGTCGGGTGGCGACAGCCGCAAATCCCAGAATGCTTTGCTTGGAGAGCTCTCCATGCAAAGTATTCGGGGATATATATGCCTCTTTTTAGGCTTTTGTTTCCTTTTCATAAGCTTAATAGACACTTTTTCTCTTATGACCCTTGGCCCTTTTCAAAGAACCGCGATGACAAAGGTGAGCTCACCATAGATACCTGAAAGTGCACATGCGCAAAATAACAGCTAACTGGATGAACACAGGACAGCCTTACGTAAAAATATCACCAGAATGATTGACAATTAGGAAGACCACTTATTTTGATTATCCACCTGGAAAAAGAAAATCCTCCACTATACCTTTAAGCTAACAGAAATAGTTGAAGTATTTTAATTGGTTTCACTGTTTCCTTGTGTGTGCACAGAATTTTAAATGAGTCTTTATCTTGGTTTATTTTCACTCTTAAAGACAGAGAGGCTTAAGGAACAGTAAACATCTAGTTGTGTAAATAAAGTTAATGAGGTCCAGAGGTCTTACCTGCTGCACTGCTCGTTCCTCCAAATACAGTATGGATCACTGGACAGCCCACAATCCTGGCAGGTTTTTCCATACATATGACAGTTTGCCATATTAATTTGGATCAGCTCATTTTTTGATTTCACATACAGAGTTTTCTGTAACAAAGTTTCACACAGTGTCTTATTATACAAAGGATCATTTAAAGGATTTTTTTCTGTCAGTAATTTGTTTAAATTGTTATAACAGATAAATAATACTCCTCCATAAACCATCCTCATTTGAGTGTTAATTTACTACTCACAGAGGAGGGACTGAAGATGAAACTGAAGATGTGGTCTGGGGGTTTTGAAGGTTGATACTCAGCGATGATGAGAGAATGGTTTTCCTTCTGCACCACCTTATGAATAAAACCTTTACCTGTTCAAAGGGCACAAGACAGACGAAAGACGATGACACATACGTGCCTTCACATCTACTAGTTTTCATTCCCTTAGGGTCTTAATTTGAAACTTTGTCTTCATAGTTCTGCAACACTTCACTATCAGTAAAATGAGACACAATTGTGGATACGCCCAAGTTTCATCATCATTTATTTTGCAATTTGAGAAATAACCTTAAGCAATCAAGGTGCTGTACGTGTATTGAGAAACAGCTTAGGCAAGCCTACATTTTATCATCCATCCATCCATCCATCCATCCATCCATCCATCCATCCATCCATCCATCCATACTTTTATTAAATAAACAGGTATTCTGCTAGGTAGTAAAATGTAATAAATGAATGGAACTCCAATTAAGGCCAGTAAAAGGTAGGTTAAGGAATTGCACATGGGCTCCAGAGGTTCCGAGTTCGAGTTCCACTCCCACAGACTGGGTGAGAAGTGGGTCGTTTCCATCATCATACATTTGTGCGTACTGTGAATCTAACGCTCCACCCAAAACAGGCCGGTGTAAGGTTTTGTTCCGATAGTAAAAATCGTGCAGAGGTATTAAAATGGGTAGTAAATGTTGGTAAACCCAACACCAGAAATTATCTTTTTACACCTTAAAACAGATCAGTGATTTTCACTCGACTAATTCTTTGAAAAATTTCACAAAGCTCTTAGCATCTGTTCTCACAAGATAAAGTGAATCATTACCTTTAAAACCCGTGTTATCTTTGGGAGTTGTGTCATACAATAGACATAGCCAGTAAAGTTAGTATTACTAATGGGATGATTCAGGAACCATAAATGTTCATCTCTACCCTCCTTCCATGTAGCTGATTAGTAGTTGACTTGATAATGTCTTCAACTTCAAGCTTTTTATAAAATGACTATTAGGCCCATCATCATAAATAAAGGGCCATATTCAGGGGAATATTTGACAACAACACTTCTCTAAACAGTTTCTAACAGCAGAAGTTACACCGTAGTTTAGCTGGTCTTGCAAGCATGCAATGTCTGTGGCTTTTATGTGCACATTATGTTCTCTTTGACCTGTTAGTAACTCTTTAGCAATGTATAGAGATGAACAAACCCTACATTTCCCTCCTGTTGTGCATGTAAAAGCTTCAGTCCTTCACTTCTTCACATGGATTTTCAGCAAGAACATCATTATGCATTAATGGGAGGGTGTTCTTACAGCAATAAACACATAGCATGGATAAAATATTTTGATAAATGCACTCTGGAGTGGGCAAAAACCTTCAAAAGGGCGAAAATAGTACTCTGTGGTCTGGCATCCATTGCCATTGCCTTTTTAAGATTATGGATGGTCTTCATGGGGTCTGTTATATAAGCTTGATCCTCATCCGGTATGAAAGTGCAGCAGGAGTCCCCTATCATAGCACAAACTCCTCCTTTCACAGTTGTCAGTAGGTCTTATACTACTCTGTTTTGAAAGGCCATGGCACATTAGTACATTAGTACGTGCCACGGCACGCACATTAGTAATCATTCTATTCTACCCCTCATCTACTGCTAGGGAGGCATTAACAAAAGCCTGGAATCTGTAGTCAACAGTTTCCAGTCTTAGGGCATTTTTGGCCTGTCCCAGCCAGGGGAAGAGAATTCTACCAATAAGCTTCCACAGAACATTTTATAAACAGTTCAACATAAATAAAATGGCTATTTAAAGCTCACTTTTGTGCACTTGTGTGTCACTGATCTAATGATAAATCTACGCTAAAGGGAGAAAACATTTTTTAGCTGACAGTTTCTAATTGACAATGACCAGCTTTTTTTTTTTTTTCCAACAGTAGGCTCATTCTAATATAAAAGCAGACGGCGAATCAAAGATCCAGAAAGAAAAGACCTTAACTTAAAACAAACGGATCTATATGTTAAGTAAAACAAAGCCCCTAGATCCCAGCTAATAGAATGTGTCTCTCCTGATCTTATGTACTGTAAAAAAAAAACAACAAAAAAACGTCCAGCTTTTTATAAAAACGACCATTAGGCCAATCATCAGGCCAAAAAGCTTGGTGAGAAAAAATCTCAAATGTTTATTAAAATATTCAGTAATAAAGAAAAGTGAGATGACTATGACCTCAATAATTGTGACTGTTTCTCGACATGTGAAGCAGCTTGGAAAAATACGGAGTGGTTTGGATTTTCTTTTCCCCTCAGTTTTAGCAAAAGAAATTAATCTCTGTGAGAGTCAGTCAAATAAACTTTTTCAGTTCTTCTGAAAAGGGTAATTGAGGTCGAAGTTAGAATCCCACGTACAGAATGACATGTAAGCAGAAGTAAAACATTAACTGGTATCATAAGATAAATCATCTATTTCAGCTTTCAGAAAATAACCTGAAACCTTTAATGGGGAATTAGGCTAGTACAACTTTCAAGATGCAACAAAAAAAAAATGTAATATAATGTAATTTAATCACGTCTATGAAATGAAAGTGACTTTCCAGAAGTCATTATTTATCTTCAATGCCTATTCCGACTCTGCAGTGTTCTATAATTGCATTTTTATACTTTAAATAAAACAGACACAAAAATCCCAGCTATTAACTTTTAGCATTAGCACAGTTGCATTCAAAGGAGACAAAATAAAAATCCATTTTTTTTTTTTGGTGACTTCATGTCTTATATTCTAAAGATTCTACTCTTCAGGGGATTAGCTTTTAGCCTATAGATACTTTGTTAACTTTGATAATTGGGTGGAGTGGGGGGTTAGTGGTTAGGGCCTAGAGCTTGGAATCATTAGGTTCTGAGTTCGAGTCCCACTCCCACAGATGCCACTCTGTGTCCCAGAGCGAAAAGACCCTTAGACCCAGACTGCTCTCCAGGCGCCGCACAACAGCAGCCCACTGCTCCAAAGCTGATGGGTTATATGCAGAGGTAAATTTCTCCAATGGGAGATGAATAAAGTTCATTTATTATTAATGTTATTAGCCACAGCCAGGAAGAAAACAGTACTGTCTCAAGAGGCAGGATGTCCTGAAATGTAGCCAATCACAGACAGGTCCACACATTAGTAGGAGTGAATCTACAGGAGCACAGAAAGCAAAAAGGCGCAGAGAAGGAGCATGGCCTCATGGTATTTAATCTGCTTAAAATGTTAAAAATTCATGTGGAAAGTAGTTTGCATCCGTGTTTCTTATATAAAATTGTTCCTACTGTATAAATCTGGACTTTGGGCAGAGTTCTGACTTCAAACTTCTCTCTCTTCTTCAAAATCAGAGTAGGAGGCCGTTCTGACTTGCAGGAATCATTTAAGCTCATTGGCCATCTGAAACCATTAGCCTTATTATATATCATCAATAATGTATACCATTTACAAACACTCAAGTCTATCCAATAATCAGTGGTCTTTGATGGGATTAATCTGAACTGAAACTTAAAAACTAATAAATTTTTATTTGAGTTTTCTTTAGGGTTGTTAAAAGCGTTTTTCTCTTTTCAGAAAACAGTTTATTAAACTTCGACTCACTTAGAGAAAGAAACATGACAGATTGTTGAGTCTCCAGGGAAAAATCCACATAGATCCGGGTGTAGTTGTGGTGCTTAACGAGAACTGGACCCATCTTGTTCAGCGGCTGCACCCAGTCCTTCATCTCCGACACCTTTTCAATCCTCATCAGGACATCTGAACTTATCTTGGTGCTGTCCGGGACACACTGAGGAAACAAAGTTCACACTTTTTAAAAATCAAACAAACCGGCTGTTCCTTCTTGTTCTCAAAGATACGATAATTTTTCAGACTGATTATATTTTCAAACAAGTCGCCATCAAAAAAAATAAATAGATGTTTTTGTCACTTTTGAAATAACATATAACAAACTATTTCAAGTAATAAGAAATTTGAAAATGACGCCATGGAAACTAGGAATAAAAGTAGTCCAAGTGTGCCTGTTTGCACTGACTGGCGACTTAAGACTGTGAAGCAAAACTAGCAGACAGACGTCTGTAAGAATGAGACACTTGGCCTAAAGTAACTTCACTTCTAGAAAGTGACGGAAGCTTCCTAAGGTTGTAAGAGGTTATTTTATTAGAATTGTAAATATATTAAATACTGACAAAAAATGAGAAATAATATTAAGTTATAATAAAAGGATCCAAGAATTTTATTATTTAGACAAATTACTTAAACTTCATCAGGTTTCACAATCTTAAAAATTGCTGAAATTCAAAATTATTAAATAAATTCAAAAAATATTATTATATTGAGTCAAAGAGCCACTGGTGGCTCTGGAGCAGCAGGCTGCAGAGCCCTGATGCAGCAGATGAAAACTTTTCTCTATAAGGCTGAACTAGAAGTGTAACCCCCACTGGAGGTATAAAAACAATGTTGATGATAGCCTGTTGGAATGATGGGATTGTGCTCAATCCTGTGATACTAAACGTGAATACAGCAGGCAGTGTGCTACATCACTAAATGAATTAAGTTTCCCACGAGAAAGATGGTTTGCTGAATCCAGCAAAGTAAAAGATGTGAATACAATGCACTAGTGTTTTTCAATAAATATATAAACTGTCTCTGCATAGCTCAGTCCCGCACTGTCGTGCTCAGTCCCGCACTGTCGTGCTCAGTACCGTGTAACATTGCTTACAGCTCACATTCATTGTGGCCAAGTTTCCAGAACTCATTATCAGTGGTGAGTGTAAACAAAATAAATGTCACTGCAGAGTAACTCACTAAAAGTTATTCTCTATACTTTTCTGATAGTATATTTAATATGATGATTTATACAGTTAATATGGAAACAAATATTTGAATGAGTTTGAGTTTTGTATTAAATTTACAGTCTTTGCAGGAAATTGTTTAAACCTAAGAATCTAATTAATCTATTAGAGGCCTTAGAGATGAAGAAAAACCCTTTTTTTCTACCTCTTGTGACAGTAACTCAGAAGCTGTGGCCTTTTTTGACCGTTAGTCACCAGCCTAGTAGTGGAAGGAGGCTCTCTTGTTCAATGCTATTCCTTTTTGTCAGTCCTTAAAAAAAAACTAAAACTCTGTTTTAGATGTGAGAAGTTTTGTTTTGTGATTATTTGGACACCATCAGCACCAGTCAAGGTGAAAGGAGAGAAAAAGGATGGAAACTCCATTACCCAATAAAAGAAACAACCAGTTGGCTCACAAACATTAAACATTCTGAAGAAGCGCAGTACACTGGGCGTTTCCACTCTTTATCAATACTCTGTGACCTTGATCGCCAAAAAAATTGCGGAAGAGCCCAATCATCTTTCTGCTAAGTCAGAACCAGAAACGTGTGATGTGTTAAGATCAGGAGATGAAGTAAACAAAGAGCTGTAGCCCATGTAAGATGTTCTCGTTCATTTCCACATTATTCTAGCAGATTTAATTTTAACTGTTTACTATTACAGTAGTATTCTAGACTACATCACTTTTAATGGTCATCTTTTTGAACAATGCTCATCTGCTGCGCTTATAAACAGGCAGTTTTCCAAATAAGGGCATCAGCATCTGTCTCCTCACACACTTTTCTTTTTTCTAAAAAAGTACAATTAAGCACTTGAAAAATGTTACTTTGTACAAAATTAAGTTTAACAAAATAAATTTTTTCATGTTATTTCAAATTCCTGAGATGCACCTGCACAATAGATGTCTTAAAACAGGTAACTTTTTCTTGAATACCTGTTTTCTCCGTTTGTCCACTGCATCATCCTCTTTTGAACCGTTAAAAGGGGACGTGATGAAAATGTTGTTAATGTCTTCTATGGTGTAGATGCACACAGCACTCATGCCCCTGCAAAAAAATATTAGACAGTTAGGGGGGCACACAGCTGTGAAAAAAGACAAAGGTTACAAAAGACTGCAGTGGTTGAGATATCAACTTTGCACAAATGTCACAAGTTTTAGCAAACAGGATGTTGACAGCTTTATAAAACAGGAAGCAGGTGAGCTGATGTCCTCTTTCTTCAGTGCAGAGGTAACTTTGCCATTTTAAATTCAGTTAAAAAAACAATTAAAATGTTGTGTTTTGTTTGGCTGAGCATGATATATGCCATTTCATTATAAGGCAGATATGGCAAGTCATTATGGTTATACTGTTGGTTTTTGTCACGGTACCTTGAAAAATAAAACTTAAGTTTTAAAAAGCCACTCATGTCTAAGCATTCATTTAAATAGACTTCACTTAAAATCTTACTGTACATAATAGATCAATGGATCAATAAAAGCATAAGACTTACAATTTATATCCCACTGCCTTTTAATGCAGACTGAGGTCTTACCATTCATTTCTGAAAAGCCCATAAACTCTGGTATCCTGCCACCGTGGCGCGTCCACAATAGCTACATCTACCAGCTCAGAGAAATGCTGTTTGCTGTCTGGGTTTCCACAATACAGCCTTGCATTCATCAGTGACGTCCACTTAAACTGGAGGTTGTTCTTTGGACCCCCTTCATCCGCCTGGAATAAAACACCCGATGCTTAATCAATCCAGATTAGGATTATTGTGAGCTGTGCACTGAACAGAAGCATCATCTCATTCTGAAGATCTTACCGTGCAAACTTGGCTCACAAAGGGGAGCCACATGTCTTTGCTCAGTCCTTGGTCTTTGTTCTTCTCTTTATAAAAAGCATAAACTTTGTTCTGCAATGTTTCATTCTCTCTCCTGCTGACCACCAGTCCCACGTAGTACTGCTCTGCAGACAGAAACACAAAGGATGTAGACTTTGTTTAAGATGGACAATTTCTCATTCTATAATTGCTATTTTTGCTACACGTTTTATAAGAACTGTACCTGATCTAGAGGTACAAAATACTTTTGTAATAATTAGGGCTGGACAATCAATTGCCTATGTGAGGGGAAGGGAGATTTGCAGCTAGCACACAGGTCCTGGAGAAACATATTTTGCATTGCAGCACACCTGAAGAAATCTGCCACTAATATATTGCTTATTTGCTATTATCATTAAGTATTTTCTGGATAACACCTCTTGGGAATCAACTAGACAGCTTAAACACATTGGAATGTCTCTTTGGAGTTTAAAGGGGATCCACATTGAGTTATTGTTTTAAGCCAACAGACTGGGTGGTAAAAGTGTTAAACGTTTCTAAAGGGGTTGTAGGTGAGTCAAATTGAACACAGCAATGTCTTGGAAGGGTCATAAAATATCAGGTTAATTTTCCAATGAGGCTGACCTGGTAAATGAGAGCTAGTTCTAAATCATCTAACCGGGATGAAAAGGGTTAAACGACATTAAACTGTAAACTGCTATATGAGATTTTTAATGGTAGGAATAGGTTGTTGTTTTTTAACCTAAGCCTACTTTAACCTTCTTGAAGTTGTTTTGTTATTGAAATGTGCTATATAAAAAATGCATTAATGTTTTTGATACAAAGTTTTATCTGGAGGCCAGGCTGGGGCCAGGCTGGGGCCAGGCTGGGGCCAGTGTTTTTCATGGGGGAACCAACTGAAGCTAAAAGTGCAGCAACATATTTAGATAATTGTTAGAAAAAAAAAAATAAAAATTTGCCCCAAAGAGGCTTTCAGTTGCACAATGGGTATATAGCACTGTTTTAGGCCAACGCCTCTAATTTTTACAGAATTGCTGCAATTATGTTGAGATTAGATCAGATTACAAGTCAGATTAGTCTTTCTGGTAATTATAATACTTAGTAATTACTTCTAAAGGCCGTTGGAAGCATCATGGCTAAAGCATCATAGTTACCTACTTTCTGCTGATTATAAAATGTCCATAATAACACACAAAAATATGTTAATTTTAAGGGCTGCTATTGTGTAAATAAATACCTTTATCAGGGCCGGTTGGTCTCACTCTTTTACTCCCAAACTTGTGGATGCCAGCTTGATCTTGAGCTCCAGAGAATGTAAGAAATAGATGTGGACCTTTATCGGTTTCTGAGAAAAAAAACCAAAAAAACAATACGTACATAATAGGTTTGATTTAAATCTTAAATACTAACTGAGAAATATTATATATATAATATATAGAACAGTAGCACAGCACAAGTGAACTCCATTAGAACCAAGCCGAGAAAAACGGAACAGATGTTGAACACTTAGAGCTACTCTTAGAATCAGGAGAAGAAATGTTCCTATGATCTTTTAAATCTACCAGCATGGGGTCCACACCATGACAAAAGCAGGAACAGACCAAAAATCAAATAAAAATGATTAGAAAACTCACCAACAAAAGCAGAATGTTCATCTGCCTTTAAATCATTTCCATTTAAATTTATCCGAGTATCAGAGATGCATGTGAGTGGATTGTTTGACAGATCCTGTGAAAAAAAAAAAAAACAAGAAAAAAAAACAAAACAAATCAACTCTGTAAAATATTGTGGTTTATATCCCTTAGGCCTACAGTCGCTGAACAAAACAGAGGAACTGCACTTATTTCAGTTCGGTTTTGGAGAACAGAGCATTCCTGCAAATGATTTGCTTTTTTTCACCTGGATGTGAAACAATAGCAGTTCTTGTTAAAACATCTGTGAATTCCTACCATTTCACAGCAACTCCTTCCATTCCCACACACAATCAGTGGCTTCCCTTCTTCCCTCTGATGGACCAAAATGATGTGGGAGTTCTAAAAATCAAAGAATTTAATAAGAACAGTGGAAAGGACAACAGATGGTATTGATGTTACTGTGATTCTCACATCGCCAGTCAATCCTTTCAAATCCACCTCCTTTTTCACCTGCAGAGAAACACAGAGGACTTTTACTTAGATTATAATGATAGTAAAATTCTGGAGCTGTTTAATGTTCTCAGTTTCATTTAGATTAAATTGAGCCTAACCAATGTCACAGTCTTGCCCATTTTGTATAAATCCACAGAAGTCTTTCCAAAAGACACAACAGTATCCAGCTGTCTTTCCAGGAGCATCACACCCGGCAAATGTTGTTCAGGTAACGAAAGGTTTTTAACCTCAGACTCTGCAATTAAAGACAGATAGGGGGTAAAATTAGCCGTATGCATATCTGCAGCCATTCCTTTTATTCTATTTTAACAAATACAAAAAAAAAAAAAGGCTTTTTATGTGGAATTAATATGAGCATTTACTAACATTTTAAGTTTTGTTTAATTTGTTTATGTCACATAATCCCTCAAATCTGCTGACTCTTTCAAATAGTGATCATGAGCTTCCATTTGAACTTAAAAAAAAACATTTATACATGTATTTATCTTATCGGGTCAATTTGGGACACGAGCTTTTACCACAGAACATGTGACCTTCCCACAATGTTTTTTAATAATGTGACACATCTGTTACAGGACATTGTGTTGAATAAACATCAATAAAAACAGTATCTGGTTTTTTTTCCCACCAGTTATGTTTGACCAAAAAAAAAATTTTCCTGTGTACATTCTTAGTCATTCTGGTAATGGAAAGCCCAAAACGGGCTTAAAGCAGAGTCTACCAGGTTCTGTTCATTTTTCTGAGCATGTTTGTGCAGCTATCCAGGAGACTTGAATTGTTTACCCCTTCCAGCGCAGCAAGTACTGCATTGATGGCTATAAATGAGAAACCAAACAGCTATACAAACATGGCACAGCACAGGAGAGCCAGCAGTGATTAAATTGTACACTTGGACACACTTTTGATGACCAAACTGTTACGATTTTGAAGGAAGCCTTTTTTGTTAAAATGGAAAAACCATCAACAAACAGAAGTGGGAAGATTGCGGTTTTAGCTTACAAGAATCTACCATTTGCTCCTGGAACGAATTCTAATGACAGAGGAAAACACATAACCTGCCATAAACCAGATTTATACTGTGTAAAATACAAATTGAACTACGTGTATCAATCTGGGGAGCCTCCTGTACAAAATGTTTACAAAAAGAGGGACATTCAGTATATTTCTTCCAGCTGATTGGGTATCTGCCTCCTATGTTGAGTTTTTAGCCAATCACAGCAGCAGTAGCAGCTGAGACATATCGCATTTTTGTTTCACTGAGTTAACTGATAAATCAAACTCTTACCGTCCAGTCGTGAGGAACACACAACCAGCTTCACATCCACAAAAACAAAAACATAAAAAAAAAAAAAAAAGAAACAGACGGTATTCAGCTAAAAATGGTGCTGTCCTGATTGTTTTGCTTCATTTTGGTTGATGTCGTTGACGTCATACATATCACTGCATTTCATTGGTCCAAACAATTCCTGTCATGAGGTGAATGAATCTGTTGGCTTCTGGCAAGATGCATTTGTCAACTTACAAATCTCACAACAATTCCTCTGGCTTGCAAGGTAACACTCATCATGATTCAAATGGCCAAACACTAAACCCATACACAACAAAAGGCTTAAAGAACCAAGGTCTATGATTTGCATTTGGCCTAGAATGTACTAAGGAGGATTGACCTCCATACCTCCATGAGATTTCTCTGATTTGAGAATTGACAAAGACTCCTGGAAGGGTGTTGAAATGTTAATCTTCAATTTAAACCCTTGTTTTTTTGGTTTAAAGTCAGAACATTCTGTATTACAGAGAAACAACTGATTCATTATCTTAAGTCCAGTCAGTGCTACTAAATGTGTGCATTTTTATCCTGCCCCCTTAAATACAATAACCTTAACTAAAATCCAATGCAACCAATTGACTTGTCAAGCTACCCACTCACAGAGTGATAATTACTGTAAGAGGAGTGTGAAGCAGTCAGAATGAGAATCAGTTCCTCCAAGTCGAGGTCATGATTCTCAAATGGAAAAAGCTGCTTAGTCTCTTCTCCAGCCTGAAGCTTCCTGCCTAAAGTGGTGGAGTTCATATATCTTGGTCTCCTATTCACAGTTGAGGGGAAAGTGGGAGATTGATAGATGGATCAGTGCGGCTGCTGTTATAAAGCAGATGCTACATCGGTCTGTTGTGGTGAAGAGAGATCTGAGTGAAAATGCAAAGCTCTCGATTTACCGGTCAGTCTACATTCCTACCCTCACCTATGGTCATGAATACTGCATCATGACCAAAGGAAGGCGATTCAGGATACAAGCTACTAAAATTTGCTTTCTCTGCATTGTGGTTGGGCACTCTTTAGAGATACAGTGAGGATCTCGAACATCTGGGAGAGGCTTGGAGTAGAGTTGCTTCTCCTCATCGTAAAGAGTCAGCTGAGGTGGCTAGAAATATATTTTTGCCTCCTGGATGCCTCCCTCAGGAGGTGTCCCAGCCTGTTAAATGGGTCGAAGGCCCAGGAATAAGTCAGTCTGGCTGGGCAGACTAGTAGATTATACCACTGTTGCCTTGCGGAAAAAAAATTCCAGGAGTTGGCATATTCCCTGTGCATGGGTGGGTTCTCTCCAGGTACTCTGGTTCCTTCTCACCTTATATTGCCCTTGGATAGTAGTGTGTGTGCATGGTTGTATGTCCATGGTGACTGGAGATAGGGTCCGAGCCCTTGCCACCCCTACTGCCACCCCACTTGAAACGGTAATTTTTAAATATAATACTTATGAGATCGGCAAAGATTTGCCAGGAAAACCGTAATTTCCGACTGTCCCTGAAGGCAGTCCGATGCAGCAGCAGCCTACATGCTGCTCACTGACGCTGTTCATTGGTTAAGCTGAGATGTGGCTCCTGCTTGATCCAAAACACACCCGCAGCTCTAGAGAACACTATTGAGGAGTTTTGCAGGTATTTACAACATTTTACCGCTCAGCGGTAACCGCTGTGTTACCTTCCTAATGAGAGGCGGCACTTGTCATACATTTCTAAAAAGAAAAAGAAAAATGGTTGTGCACCGCTCCGTAGTGCCTCGTTTATACTACTGCTGATAGATTGTGTTTTAAACAGATTCTTTTAACATATGTTTTAGTGCACATGCTGCCCTGTAATGTTTTATTCATTTGGCCAGGATATATCTCCCAGCTCTTGCTTGAAATGTGTGTGGTAAAAATATGTGAAAAACCATTGTTAAGTTTTATAGTGACTGAAATGTAAGTAGGCTATGTCATATGAAAGCTTTGAATTATAACCTAACTAGTTATATTAATTAATTTAATTAATCTATTTTTATTTTTTTATTATTTAAGCTAGCTACAGAAAAATAAAAACTATAGTTTAAATGATAGTTAAAATAGTGTTGTGCCAAACACTCATGGAGTTTAAATACCAGGCTGTCTTATTTCATGTAGAGCCCAAATGAAGAGAAAAGGAAAGATCTCCCAGTTCTTCTTAAAGAGACAAAAACCAGGGCCAGACCAGGACCAGACAGAGCCCTGCAGCAGTGACCAACCTGGAGAAGCCAGCCAGGAGACACCAGGCCCAAGTGTATCACCAGCAGGTTAGAGGCTGTGACAGAGAGTTATTAAGTAGTAAAATCCAATAAGCCCTAATTCTAAAGGTTAGCATGATGCTTTTTGCATTTTTTATTGTGTCTGTTTATGCATTTCACAATTAAGTTCCAGACAGAGATGAGGGTGATATAGATTCAGAGTCAGACTCTGGGGAGGAAGACAGTGAAGCAGAAGGAAATGGCACTGAACTCCCCCCATCCAGCACAACCTATTGCACACCAAAAGGACCAGTAGGTAGGCACACACTTCCCATGTTATGCTACAGAAACTTAACTAATTACAACTTAACTTATTGAGATGTCTGCCCAAAAATACTCTTAAAATACTTAATATAATTACCTAATATTTATTCCAGACATCTCAAGAACTAAAGCGGAAGGTCCAGCTCAGCCATGTCTGTCAAAGTTCCCAAGAACTCAGCATGGAACAAGAACAAGGGCTTTCAACAGCTCTTGGTACAAAGACAATCCATGGCTTGAGTACTCTGTATCTCAAAATGCCAGTTACTTTTTTGCATGCAGGCATTTCTCCCTCCCTAGTTATACAGAATCATCCTTCACATCTGAAGCAGGTTTTTTCAACTGGAAAAAAGCCTTGTTTAAGGATGCTGGGTTTCAGGTTCATTCAAAATCAGAGCAGCACATAAATGCAATGTATGCCTGAAATGAGTACAAAAGGGTCAATGAGTGAAACAGATCTATTCTTGATGCCTTAAATGAGGGTAGGAAACAGAAAGTTGAAGAAAATAAAAAATACATTAAAACAGTTGCGGAGGTGTTACTATTAACAGCTACTCAAAATATTGCACAAAGGGGTCACAGGGAGTCTGATGACTCTGACAATAAAGGCAATTTTTTAGCCATTTTGAATGAAATTGCAAAGCATGACCCCTTTGTGCAGAAAAGGTTAGATGCACATGGCAATACAAAGTAGACTAGCCACCAAATCCAAAACGAGATTCTGCAGGGATTGGCTGAAATGGTTCAAAAAGAAATCATAGCTGAAGTTAAACAAAGCGAGGTGTTCAGTGTGTTGGCAGATGAGACTAGAGACTTACAAAAGAAAGAACAAATATCTTTAGTAGTTTGTTACTATTACAGTGGTGCCATACATGAAAGCTTCCTTCACTTTCAGTCGGCAGAAAGCTTGGACGCTGAGGGTCTGACCAAAATGATAGTGGGGTGTCTGGAGAAGCATGGTCTGGACTACAGAAACAACCTAGTAGGAC